AGTTGAGGAGTATCTGCACTGCCAACCAGGAAGTTTTGTGTCCAGAGTTTTTATTAGAGTTTCATTGTGTACGTGCGATCAATTGAATTGATTGGATCACCGGCTTTGTGGTTGAACTCAATGTCTAGCCTCTTTTTCTACCATGGTGGGTTGATACCTTGTGATTCAGAATGCCAACTCTTTAATCACAAGGATGATCTTTCTGTATGACCAGGCACCATCCTGAGTCAACTCATTAGCATAAACCATCAGGTGTGGTCTAGGGGCCACCATGAATAACAAAGACACTCCCATCACCCCAGAAATTCCAAGGATTTAGAGGTTACCTCCCAGGAACCAGGGACAGAGGCCAGCCAAATCTTTACTATTCCAGAGGAGTCAACCTTAATTCCCCCTTTGGCATCAAACCTAATGTAGTAACAGGTTCTGGTGGATGAGAACATGAACATCTTCATCAGGGACTTTGCTATGCTAATCACAGCCTCCCAGTTGCACTTAACACATCACTCCATTTTGTTTTCACACCTACCTCTTTATAAAATGGTCTTATTTCTTTTATTGTCTGTATCCCCCTCTGCTATGAGGGCAGTTCCCTTGCACATGAATGAATGAGAAAAGGAGTTAGGGGAGGCGCCCTTCTCGTCGTGGAAGGATGAGCAGGGTAGTTAGCAGAGGCTCCAGGCAGAGAACAGTTTGAGCAGAGGGACAGGAGAGGGAGAGTGGGTGGGTGTTGGGGAGCCCTGAGTGGGTTATTGTGGTTAGAGCCCAGGGGTGTGTTGTGGGAAGAAAGGGACATGTTGGAATAAGGAAAACCCAGATTTGACAGCTGCACATGCTAGGCTTGATGGCACTCCTGGTATCTGCTCTAGTGCCTTTGCTCTCTAACCCAGATGGCAGTAGGGAAGTCCAAGGGTGTGCAAAATAGGGCTTAGACCTTGGGATCTGACAGACATGGGCTCAAATCCCAGTTCCACTACTTATGGTCATGATCATGAGCAAATCTCCACACTTGCCTGTGGCCATCACAGTGGCTGGCTCACTCAACACTCCTGCCCAATCTACTTCTCCTTTACCTTCCTCTGGCTCAGAGAGCCCAGAGACTTTGGTTTCCCAATATCTTTTGCAGCAAGTGACACAGATCTGGCCCATGAGCTGAAAGTGGAATCTTGATTAAGGGTGTTTTGGTAGTGGAAAAGACCCAACAAAAATGCTGGATCAGAATCTTGCCTTCTCATCTTCTAACTTTGAAACAAATTGTCAAAACCAGCAGCAGCATATTTGGGGCCATGCAGGACGAGCTCAGAGTAATGACCTAAGCAAAGCTGGGTAGAAAGATGGAGGCCATCAATGAGCAACTGGACCAATGTCAGCAGTTACCCACTCTGGGTATTGGCTGGCTATTTGTTACTTAAAGTCAAACACAGTCCAAGTTAATACACTCTGTATTAATTAGTCTCTCAGTTCTCTCTATTGTAAACTAGAACTAGTAATATTTATCAATATTCACTATACTCATGTCACGTACCAAGAACTCCTCTAGGTGCTGGTGCCAAAACAGTGAACAAGCAAAAAAGTCCCTATAATTTTTGCATTTGCGTTTGGTGAGAGAGACAGACAATAAACCCATAAATAGACAAGAATATATCTGAGAATGTAAAGTATTATGAAGAAAAGACAGAGATTTGACAGAAAGAGACTGGTGTGGACCTGACATGGGGTCCCCATGCTAGGACTCTGTGAAGAAGTGATACTTGATCTGAGACCCAAATGAGAAGACAATGACAGAATAGAGAGTGGGGAACAGCATTCCAGGCAGAGGGAATAGCCAGGGCAAAGGCCTTCAGGCAGGGCCAAACTTGCTGAATGGGCAGGCCACAGTGAAAACCCGGTGGCTAGATGGCAGAGAGAGAGGAGGGATGGGAGAGGATGGAATTTAGAAGCTATCTTAATTTCATCCCCAGCCATAATTTTCCTTGACAAGTGTTTCCAGAGAGGTGAGTGAGGGTCAGATGACATATGTCTTGATAAGCAGAGTAGATTTATTCTAAATTCAAGCAAAGGCACTGGGGGGCTTTAAGAGGAGTTGGGTCAATGACTTGATTACCAGGCACACCTAAGTGCTTAATACATGCCTATAGCCTAGGGTAGAAGGTGCATTTTCTTGATGGGATTCCTGTCCCTTCTCAGGCTCTGCCAGCCCCTCCCCTGTCCTGCCTGCCTCATGCTCCCAGCCCCTGAGCTGGACCCCTCCGGCTGCCTTCTGAATTTTCCTGACCCTGCTGTCCTCCCCTGGGGCTGATTGCTCCCTCCAGAGCAGGCGAGCATAATTGCCGCTTTCCACAATGACATAAAAATCTAAGAGGCACGATCAATACAGCGCACACACATCATCGTCTTTCATTGCAAACGATAAAAACGTAAACAGCAGGGGTGGCGGCAGCTCTGCAGTGGGGGCTGGGTAGGCTGCCACCTCCTTTTTGCCCCTCACCTCCCTTGGGGGCACCTTCTCTAAAGGCCATTGGGAAAATAGTTTTCTCCCTCTTTTCCTTGCAGATGCAGCAACCCCGCCTCTTTAACCCAACTTCAGAAATCCAATTTGTTTTCTTTTGTTTGTTTGTTTCCTCTCATCTTTTATGTCTCCCAAAATACAGAGCTAGGAGAGAGCTTGCTGGAGGCAGAAGGAATTGCAAGTGTCTTGCTTGTCACAAGCCGATGAGCTGACCTTGAAGGGAGACCCATGTGAAGCCCAGACCTCTGTGGCCAGCTTCTTTCCCTGCACGTCCACAGCTGCCACCCACAGCTTGTCTTGGAACATGCACATTACATCCCCAACACTCAGACGCGCAGCAACGACTTCTTCAAACTAGTTACTTGATGAACGTCATCCAATTCCGATTCAGCCTTGCCACACTCTCATTTGTGAAAGCCAATCTGCTTTATGATTCTAACCTCTGGCTAGAAACTGCTCCCAATTTCATGTCATCCATAAACTTGATGAACGATTAGCTTGCTTCTCTGCAGTCAATCATTTGTTTATTCAAGCAGCATTTAGTGAGCACCTACTGGATACTGGGTATGGGATATGGAGTTGAGGGATACTGGGTACAAGATATGGAGTTGAGGGAGAGCAGGCTCTGCTCTTGAGGGGCCCCTATGCTGGTGGCGGAGCACATGGAAACGGGTCATTCATTATGACCTGGTGCTTAATTGGGTCAGAGAACTGGCTGTCTCAGGGGAGGGGCAGATTATGTTGGCCTTGAGATGCTAGAGGGGGATTTTGCCAGGTGGAGAAGAAATGGCATTCCAGCTAGAGGCCAAAATGTACATAGGTAATGAGGTCTGGATGGTGACAGGGGAGAAATATGACGATGACGATGATGATGATGATGATGATGATGATGATGATGATGAGCTTCAGGTTGGCATCCAGGATGCCTCTTTGTCTCTCGACTCTGCACATTCCTGTTTCATCCTGAGGCTTCTGTGGCAGCAAAATGGCTGCCACTGACTCCACTTATACCCTCCCAGGTTCAAATCCAGGGAAGAAACTCAGCTCTTTTCTCAGCAAGTTCCCTTGACTCTTATTGGGTCACCTGCTCAGCCATGACCAATCAGGACATGTGTGGGGGATACAGGCACTCTGATTGGATTCTGGGGTGGAAAAAGCTCCTTTTCAAGCCCTCTGGCTGAAAGGTGGATGGGAATTCCCAGAGGAAAACTGGATGGTGTTGGCTCTGAAAAAGGTGACAGGATGCGGTGATGTAACCACCATGGTTGGGCTGTTGTTCCAGGTGGTGCAGCGGGGAGCTCCTTGGGTGCTTTCTGCCTGGTGGTACAGAGTTGCTCAGCAGTCACTCTGAGGTTGGGGTCAGAGCTGAGCCTGCTGGCTACCACGTTCTGTTTGCAGGCCACTTGAGAATATACTTCTGCTTCCCCAGATGCTAGATTTAAGCCAGGCAGCAAGCAATTTCTAGTCATTCCTCCTGTCCTCAGCCTTCCCATTCTTCAAGCTCTTTTCTTGTCTTTCTCGAAACCCAAAACCCTGTGGGACTGGCCACAGGCACTGTGTACTTGGAACTTAGCACTGGAAGGTCAGTTGGATCCAGGACTGCTCACCAGCACGTCCTGTCCTGAGTGGTGTCCACCCCAACCCAGCACAGTGGCCTTTCCTTGGGATTTAGGGTGGCACAGGGGCTGCTGCGTGGATGGGCCTGTGCTTTGATGACAGACAGATCTAGGCTCTAGTCTATAGTGACCAGGCTTAGGCTCAGCTGTGAGTGACAGACTCTACCCCTGAGAGAAAGATTATGCTAAAAACAAGATAGAGGTTATTTCCCTCTCCAACAGTCAAGAGCCTAGAGGCTGGAAGAGCAGCTTCTCCAAGTCAATAGCGATTGTTCCCTCACTGCTCATCCATCCTCTTCAAGTGGCCTCCACTTTGTGGCTCAGGATGGAGGAGAAAGGGACAGCAAAGGCATGTGCTTCTTCCTCTCAGAACACTTTCCAGAACTGCACATGACACTCCCGCTTACAGTTCTAGGCAGAATTTGGTGATGTGACCAAAATGGCCCCAGGGGAGGCTGGGAAGAGAGTCTTGATTCTAGGCAGCCATCAGCCCAGCTGAAGATCAGAAGGTGAGGACAAATGGCTCCTGCATAGTAAATAAGAGTCAAGAGCACAGGCTCCTAATTGTGCCCATCCCTGTGGGAAACAGCCTGGGAACTGCCCTGGGAAAGGGGACGCGTGTTTCTCGTGTTGGAAGTAAGGAAGGTGAGGTAGAGGGAGGCCAGTGGGTTTGCCCAGTATGCTCTCTTTTCTCTTTCTCCCCTTCCTTTGCTAACTTCCTTGCTCCTGCCTGGACCCAGAACATAGCTCTCAGTCCCCCTTGATTATTCCCAAGGAGTGGGGCCTTCTCTGTCTCCTCCTTTGGGTCACCAGAAACCTGGGTCTCCTGTGGGTCTGCGGCGCCCATCCCCCAGCAGAGCAAGTGGCATGGCCCAAATCCGCAGGTTTATTTATCTCTGTACCAGGCTTACGAATCTTCCCCTAACTGCACTCACTTGTAATTGATGCTGATTTAGGCTCCCACAAATGTGGGCTCTGTTACTCTGGGCTCTTGAAAACCATGCATACCTACCTTTCTGTTTCCACAGCCCATCTGTAACCCAGGACTAAACCACGTCCTTCAGCTCTCTCAAGGGTTTCTCGACAGGTATCAAGTGAGAAATAATGTGGGTAATGTGTTCCAGTCAACTCAGGGATAGCTGCTGCCTGAGCCCACAGTGCCACTAAATGATAATTGCCCTTTGTCCTCGGGGGAGTGGGGGTCAGGCCCAGCATGGGAAGTGTTCACCATCCAGTCTGGGGTGGGGGCGGCAGTCTGCAATGATACCTGCTCCCTGAGGGGGAGGGTGTGTGTGGGAGGTCCTTGTCAATTCTCAAACAGAGAGCAAGGAAGTGGGCAGAGAAGGACAACTGGCATTGTGGAAGTGTCCAGAGGCTACAAAGATCCAGGCACAGCGTTCAGTTCAGAGGTCAACTCCAGCCTGGGGAAGGACTGGGGGATGGCACGCAGAGGTCAGGGTCTGGTCCTAGGCAGAGAGAGGAAAGACGCAGGTTTGCAAATGAAATATTGACTTGCAGAGAACATGGGGTGGGGGTGGAGGAGCTCTAGTTACCAGCATCTCCCACATGGGCAGCTGAGATGGCCCCACCTGGCTTCTCTAATCCAATCTTGAATTCCTCTCCTCCTAGCTCACCCCCTTTTCCTCCATGAAACTTCCCCCCATCCAGTATCTCCATAATGTAGGCAGAGGATGACCACTTTCAGGGTAAGCCCTGCTCCCACCTCTTCACCTTACAATGGTGCGGTGGGTTCTCATTGCCCACCTGATCTTTCCTCTGTTTTTCTCTGCACTTCATTTCCTCTGCTCTCTCACCTCCACCGTCCTGCCATACCGCCTTCTACCTGCTCCTCACACCTACCAGGTGTGCTCCTGCTTCTGCCTTTGCACTTTCTGTGCCCTTTGCCCGGAATCTTCTTTCCTCAGCTCTTTGTCGGACTGACCCTTGGAGCGATCTTCCCTTACCCAGCTGCCCTCCTCGCCTCTGAAGTAATCTCTTCTCCGTCGCTGCCAGGGTCTGATTTATTTTATCGTTGTACTGATGACTACGTAGGATGAGGACTGGCTTGCTGGTTGCCTGTCTCCAACATGAACGTGAGCGGGGGAGGCAGCCTGCCCTCTCGTTTCTGCTTGTCTCTGCCGGGTCTGCCACAGAGTAGTAACAGGCAGTAACGTACTGCAGGGAGGCAGACTTGTTCGGTTGCCCCCCACCCCTCTGCCTCCAAGTGAACCCTGGAAACAGGGCTCTGTGCAAGTCATTAGTTTATTTGGGAGGTGATCAGGCAATGGAGAGGTAGCCAGAAAGGGAAGTGTTGTTCTCCAGCGACTGGATAGAAATGGAGTCCCCTCTCCTACTTCCCCTCAACAAATCTCAGGCATGGAACACGGGACCACAAAGAGTCAAGCTGAACACTATCGGGGAGAAGGAAATGGACACTGGGCAGGCAGCCAGTGGTGTGTGGCAAACACACTTCACACTCTGGGGCAAAGGAGAGGGTGGTCAGAGAGGCCAGAGCCCCAGCCTTGGGAAAGAGGATGTGGGGTGGGGTGAGAGCTGAGAGCCCTGCTCTTCAAGTGAGTTGGTTTCTTGGCCTCCTCAGGTTTCTGGCTCTCCCAGTATCCTCTGAGGCCCGCCTGGGGCAGGAGGAGTTTAGAGAAGCTGGTGGGGAGACCTCTGCCCCCCTTCAGGCAGGTGTGCATTTTCTTTGGCAGCTAATTACTTAGGATGGATGATTCTGACTCAAATGGAAGCCCTGTCCTCCTCTCCCTCCCTCCAGCTGGGACAGAACAGGTGGTAGAGGGAGCAGAAACTCCTGCACAGTGCTTGCAGGACTATTCATCATTGTGGGTATTTACACCCCACCTGGGGCCAGAACTGGGGCAGAACAGGTGGTGTCAGGAGAGGAAGGCAATGAGGAGGTGATGGGGAATTAACTCTCCTGATACTTTCTGCAGAGGTGGCTGGCCCTGTGTTGGAGCAGAGTCCTCTGGTTTGCAGGGAAGGGCTGAAATCACACCAGAGGAAACAGTCTGAGGTAATCAAATGCCAGAGCATTTCCACTTTGTCTGTCTTTGGAAGATTTGGAGATTAAGAAGATGAACCCAGCTGAAGGTTGGCTGTTCAGCTGGGGGTAGGGGCAGGGGAGGGAAGGAAGCCCCGATGTATAGCATTTGCTGATTGCTGTGGTGTAAATACTCTCACTGTGGCTGACTTCAAGCTGCCAGTTGTTAAACAATCAGCTCACAAATCTCAAATACTTAGCAACTGGTACCTAGGAGCTGGTAGGAACCTCCCCAGCAGGCCTCTGGTGTGCGTTGAACCACGGGCACCCAGTATGTGTCCCTGTGTGTGTCCAGAGTCACGTGCCAGGGACACAAGGCTGCCTAGCCTCTGCTGCTGTGAGCACACAGATTTGGCATAGAGTGGGATGGAGCAACGTGACAGTCACTTAACAGGATGGCACGTGGTGGGCATCACCTCAAGGCCTCATGTCATCCTTCTGGTGTTGAATCTGGTGTCTAGGATGGAGACTTGAATCCGCCTCTGTCCATACTGGGCAGTGCCTGGGGCTCTGGGCAGTTCGGACCTCCTCTGCCTGCAGTGAATAGGAGGAGGCTCTTCCAGCTCTGCCATCCTGCAATCCTCTCATGCTGTATCACACATCCCTGTTTTAGCCCTTGCCACCTCTGCTGGCTGCCTAAGACCTCAGCCTGGGCAAACACTCCATGGCATTGCCAAGGCCCCCAGGCATCCTTCAGCTTGACTCTTTGTGGTCCCATGTTCCAGCTGTCTTATTTCTAGAGGTAGATGTGACAGGAGTTGGGCACCAGGTCATGGCCCTCTAGAGTCAGCATTTGGCTCCTGGGCAGTCTCCTCCCAGCAGACCCTCCCCAATTCCAGCCTTCGTGCCTAGGATGGTGTAGGGTAAAGAAAATGTCAGGCTTTTCTGCCCTCCCGCCATCAGGATAGATGATGGATCCCTGCGGTCCTGAATGCATGCCTGATGGCGGGCACCTGGAGTAGGGTGTGGGCATAGGTAGATGGGATTCACCTGGGCTAAGACTGGGCTTTTTAAGGGCGGCATCACGGGGACGCCAGCAGAAGCCAAAAGAGAAGCTGAGAGAGAAGCAAGAGAAGCAGAAGCCGAGAGAACGCCGGAGAGCCCAGATAGAGGGAGGATTTGTTGGGGGCTGGGAGGACTGCCAGCCTCCCTGCCCCCCAGCACTCTTACCTGCTGTGTACCAGGTAAATCCCAATAAAAAGACCTGCAAAAAGCTACTAAGGACTCTGATTCCTCCTTTACCCGGTCTGCTGGATCATAGGAAACCTGCACTGTGTCTATTCCTGCCTTTACAGATGGCATCTGCCCTTTTCCTATCTGGAGTCAGAGCTCAAACTCCGGCCCTCTCCAAACCCTGGTGTCTAAAAAATGTGGAGGCATTTTGTGAGCCATAAAGGGCTCTGCAGATATTGTGAAACATGAGGGTGTAGATCATGTTCACTGGACTGATTTAACAAATTCCAAAGTTCCCGCCTGGGGTAGGGGGGGAGCCCCTGAGGGGCCACCAGGGGCAGCATCCTGTGGCCCTGCTCTCCTGCCAGCATCGGTGGGGCTTCTCACTGTGGGCTCTCTGAGGGATGAGCAGAGTGGGGGTGACTCTCTGCAGGCTGAGCTTCACAGTGCAGACATGGCTTTCTTATTTTCTCTTGCACCTGAGCTTTAAATTAGCCAAGTCTCTTGGCAAGCTGAGGCAATGGTAGGAAGCTCTTAATAATAGATACAACTGACTGTCTGCTAACAAATTGCTGAAGATGGCAATTAGCATTTTAATTTAGGTCTTTTTCTTCACACTCACCTCTGGAGACCTGGGTTCGAATCTGGAATTGGGGTCACCAGTAGAGGTTTGCCTGTGTCCTCCTAAGTCCCTGTGGGCGGTTTGTCTTTGTCATACAGCTCAGTGTCGAGTATGGCCTGAGGGGGGCACTGTCTGTCCAGATGTGGAGCAGATGGCAGCAAAGCACAGGTCTGCGGTAGGGAGGCCAGAGAGGAGCAGCTGGGCATGGGGGGTGGGGGGGTAAGGATGAAGGGGTGGGTAAGGATGATGGGGAGAGGCATGGGGGAGGGGGAGGGGCAGAGGCTGGCAGTGAGGAGCTGGGGGGTGGGAGCAGGCTGGGTGGGGCTAAGTACAGGGCGTGGAGGGAGCGGCAAGATGTTGGGGTGGGCAGAGAGTGGCACCAGGGAGGGGGCTGAGCAGGGAAGAAGGGCGAGTGCACCTCCCTCCTAACCCCAACCCACCCCCATCTGCCCCAGGCCTGTACTGAGGGCTTTTCCCTTCCCAAGCACTGATTTTCTTGATTTTTCTTCAAGCCACAGCAGCCTGGGATGACTGGAGTGTTAGGAATAAATGATTTAACAGACCTGTCTTATTTCTTTCTCTCATTCACAAAACAGCATTTAAAAACAGCAAGAAGAAAACTCTTCTCTCAGAGGCTGACAGCTGGGGATAACGCTTTGGGGCCCAAAGAGAGACAAGCTCATCCCTGTATCTAGTGAGTGTGTCTGGGGCCTCTCTTCTCAGACTCCACACCCACCCATCTCACCTCCTCACCTTGGAGTGGAGACATAGGTGGCTCCTTCTGAGACAAATCCTACTTATCTAGTCCTGCGTCCTTAGCCCACTTCCGACTCTCAGAGTTGCTTGAAGATAGCCAAGTCATTGAAAAATGACCTACATTTCCTCTACCATGCAAAAGCATCTTTGACATATGAAATGGCAGCTCCAGACTCCCGGGGATTTGGTACCAGTCAGAGATTCAAGGCTCCAAGAAGGTGAGTAGGTCTTGTTGAGGAAGGTGATGGGGGGAGGTACTGAAGACCCACAGTGGGTGCAGGGAGGCTCTGAATGCTCTAAGAACTGACAAAATCCCACAGTGCTCTTAGGTCCAGCATTTCAGTCTTGTGCAGTAGTATGCATGGGGTGACTGGAGAGAGAAACTTAATTCTCTTCTTTGGTCTCCTCTCTGATGTCATCTCTATTACTTTTGGGGTTGCAAATGTTGAAGGGCAAAATTTCATCTGGCTAAACAAATCTGGAAAGGAAAAATCAAGGAAAAGAAAAATCTGTAAGTGAAAAATCAAGTGGTAAGTCAGGTTTCAGGTAAGGTTTGATCTAACTGTATGGCATCACCCCAATATCTGATTTCTTTCCCACACTCTGTACTGTTTTCCATAGCTTCATCCTAAATCTGAGTCCCTTCAGGATCGTAAGTTGATTGCCAGAAGTTCCTTGGACTCCATGTATTCTAGTTCTTTCCAGAGAATAGGGAGGAACTTTGTATGTTCTATTCTGGGATTCAGCATTGATTGACCTGAATTTGGATACATGCTTATTGTTAAATCAATGGTTGTGGCCCTGGGATGAGCTGTCACATTGTTTTGAGCCAGTTTAAGCCCACAGCTAGCACTGGCAGTGGGGTCAGTCCCACTTAAACTACAAGCAGGGAAGAATAAACCCTCCCACAGGAAGATAGTTTGAAGGCAATGACCAACCTCTTTCTATCTTGTTTGTAACCACTTGTTTTATTTACTTTTCTTTTTAAAGATTTATTTATTTATTTATACAAGCACTAGGTACAGTCAGAAGAGCAGGAGGGTGAGAGAATTCACCAGAGCCAGAGTGGGGAGCAAAGCAGGCAGAAGGACCGAAGTACACTGCTGAGGGGAGCAGCGGGCAGGCAGGAGAGGTCTGCGCGCCATGTGGGACCCTCTTCCCTGCGCACCGGGGATTGAACCAGCGCTGCAGAAGCTTCGGGCAGCTTCGCAACCCAGCGCTCAACCGCTGCACCACTGGGGAGGCCCTTGTTTTATTTTCTTAAAGATTTATTTGTTTATGCATACAAGAGCTGGGGTACAGGCCAGTGGGGTACAGGCCAGAGGTGCGGTCCTGGGGGGTGGTGAGAGGATTCACCAGAGACAGAGTGGGGAACAGAACAGGCAGACTGACTTAAACACATTGCTGAGGGGAACAGGGGGCGTGACAGGAGAGGTCTGATGCACCATGTGGGTTGCTCCCTGGCCGGTGAGGGATTCAACTTGTGCTACAGAGGCTGTGGATTGCTTCATAGTGCTGTGCTTAACCCCTTGCACCACCAGGGAAGCCCTGTTTGTAACCACTTGTAATGGAATTATACAACCACAACCTGTGCTGCCTGGTTTTTGTTGTTATTGTTGTCCTTTTGCTGTTTATTTAACCTCAAAACTTCAACTTTGGGGTATCATGGGACTTCTCAGTTACTCAAATACGTGGATGGATATTTCCTAACCCTATCCTGATGCTGGACTAGTTTGTATGATGTGCTTTAACCATTGGAATGCTAGGTGTTCAGAAGCTTTAAACCTGGCTTGGATTCCTTTTTGGTTGTTCTTCCAGCTACCATGAGAAAGGCATGTGCTGAGCAGCCCCTGGTTCCAAAATGTGAGACATGTGGCACCAAACTGAACCCAAGGTATGGCCTGAGGGTCACCCAGTTGACCCTCAGACTATGGACACACACAAAAAATGTTTGTGGTTTTAGGTCACAGAGATTTTAGGGTTGTTTGTGACATAGCATGATCACAGCAATGGCTGACTGATGCCAATAGGTGAAGGTTGCCAGGTTAGTTCATGCCTGGCATTCTGAGTGTGCAGGGCAAGGGCAGCATTATCAGAAAGGGAATTAGAGGATCCCCCAAAGAAGGCCCCTTTACTCTCTGGAATCTAGAAATGTATCTGGTTTTTCTCTTGCAGGATGTCTCATATCTTTTTGGGCCAAGGAGAAAGATTTCTGCTTTGGGGAAGATGTCAGAAGATGGCCTAAAAGAACAATGAGACCCATCCCAGCAGCCTCAAGCTCTGCTTCCTGTCCCCTGGTCATGAATGAAAGCAGAGGAGAGGGAGAGAGACAGAGACAGAGACAGAGCCAAAGAGGCAGACAAAGAGAGAGACAGACAGAAACAGAAGAGCCAAGAAGTGGTCCGCGGAGCCTTAGAGCCAGCCCGGGGTAACCTCTGGCCTGAGCTGGTTTTGGTCCTGATGTGGCTGCTTGGCTCTAAGCCTCTTTGTGCAGTTGGTGCCTTCCTAGAAAGCAGCCTTTAGATTAAAGTTTTATAATTTAATCTCTATTTGAAATGCCTTTAAGAGAATCCAATTGGACAGTGAGGAAAGGCAGAAGCTTCTCAATGTCTGCTCTAACGGTGGGCTTGTCTGTGTGGTAGTGGCACTTCACTGGTGGTGGGCTGGGAAGCACGGCCACGCCTAAACTCAACACGCCTATGGGTCTTTCTCAAGTGAGTGAGCGCTGCCCTCCAGGCGTGGCCCCCTCCGGGATGTTGTTCTAGTCAGGTTTCAAGCAGCCTTGGTGCCCTCCCTGGGCTTAGGCATGATGGGGTTTAGAGAACGGGGTCAATGTCTTTCCTTACACCTTACAATTGGCCAGGGCGGTGCCGGTCTTGGCAGATTCTTCAGAGTGAAAGGTGGCCAGACTGGACCCTGTGGGTCCAGGGCTCTGTTGATGTTAGAGAATGAACTTGGACTCTGGGCATAAGTGCAACCTAAACTCTACCAGTTGGGTGATTGGCTTTACCTTGCAAGCCATAGCTTCCCAGTCTGAAATAGCAGAGGTACCTATTTAACAAAATGCCTGGCCCACAGTAACGATCAGCCAATAGGAGTTACAACAATAGGAGTTGTTTGTTTTCAGAATTACCCAGAAGGTGGTGTGGTTAAGAGCTTTAATTCTGGATTTGAATCTCCTGGGTGAAAATCCTGGAACTCTCTCTTTCTAGGTGGAGCTTCCAAAAACTTCATGTAACCACTCCAAGCTTTGTCTCTTCATGTGTGAAACAGCTTCATAATAACTCCCTCAGAGGATGTGGAGGACTCAGTCTGCTATTTCGTGGATCTGAAGACATCTAAGCACAGAGGCTGACAGACACAGAGTTAGTGCTCAGTGCATGTGGACTGTTGAACCTCATCTCCAATTGCTACCCTGTTGGGAACTGATGCATGGGATGACCTCAGTGTGCCCCTCAGCCTCCTTCAGCACTTCCCTTCAGTCTTCTGGCCCTTGACAGAATGCTCTGGTCACTGAGATGGGACTCCGCTGGCAACAAGCAAAAGACCAGAGAGAAGATAGAACTGCAGGCAGGAGGGGGTGACCAGAAAGTCTTTCCTTGCCCACAGCCAAGGGCCCCACAGTTACTGGTCAATACTTCATTGACTCCTGCCATCACTACATATCTCCACATCTCTAACTTGAAGGGGGGGGTCTTTGCTGCATAGTCTGGTGTTCCCATGGCAACCTCTCAGCAACGCAAAACAGCCATTGCTCCCATAACAGGCAGCCTTCACCCTTCCTCCTGCAGAAGTCACATTAGCGGTGCCCCAAGGAGCCCTCAGCACCCTGGACAGAGGACCAAGTCAGCCAGCAGCCTCTTTTCTAACCCCCCTAGTTTTCTGGGCTTGCTGGAGGAGGCAGTGGTGGGGAGTTATTTGTTCTAATGTATATCGATTGAGGGCCTATGATGTCCAACAACACACCAAATGCTTGTTAGGGACCCAGCATGGAGAAGACACAGAGCCCTGCCCTCGGGGACTAGAATTATAGTTGGTCTCTACTTTAGGAAGGAGAGAAAGGAGCAAGACAGTTTCAGTCAGTGCTAAACACTGAGAAGGAAATGAAATAGAGCCACGTGGCAGAGGGAGTTGGTAGAGGGGTCAGGGCGGGTCTCTCTGGACCTTCAGCACTGAGCACTGAATTAAGGGGAACCTAGCCAGTAAGACCCTGGGAAGAGTATGTCCAGGTGGAGGGAAAGTGAGTGCAAAGGTCCTGAGGCAGGAGTGAGCCTGAGTGTTTGAATGAATAAACTGAGGCTGGAGGGTGCTGGGCAAGGTAGACAGCTGGCTCCATTATGAAGGGCTTTGTGAGCTGGAGTCAGTTTTGGGATTTTATTTGAACTACAATGGGCAGCCAACAAGTGTTTTACACGGAGTAGAGGCATGGTTAGAAACAGCTTTAAAAAGAATTTTTGGATTATTTTGGGTCAAAATCCTGCCTGGGAAGCCCCACATTTCCTGAGTGAACTATGTTTGGCTGAGAAATAGAACTGCAGCTTCTTGTAGCTGGTCTTCCTTGGACCCCTGTTTTGCTCCTTTTCCCCCTTTCTAGTGTGGAGACCAACTAGAATTCTAGTCCACGAGGGCAGGGCTCTGTCTGTCTTCCCAGGAACCAAGGGGATCCTCTCACCCAGTATATCACCACCCTTACCACCACCCTCATCTCCATGACTTTGCCATTTTTGGTTGCTGACAGCAAAGCCCTCACCCCTGGACCCAGTCAAGCATGTTCTACCCCACCCCCCCAAGCCATTTGAGAATTCACCCTGATGAATGGACAACCTCAGACCTATGAATCCTTCAGCCAGTCCAGGCCTGAGCGCTCAATCTCTCATAACTCTGTGTTAAGGATGTGGAGTGACACCTGAGACAGCTGGATAAAGGATGAAATAAGAGGCTTGATAAGTGGGATTGATGGCTGTCCTTGCCCAGACTGAGCTGGGGGAAGGGCAGAAGACCACCTAGGATGAGTTATTTGTCATCCCAGGGTGTCTGGGGTGCAGACTCGCTCCAGTCCACATGACAGACAGGCTTCCGTTGATCTGTGGCCCCTTCGGGAATCTCAGTTCCAAGGTGCCAGAGAAGGCCCTGTGTTCTTGCGGTCTGAGAATTTAAGAAAAACAAAACATTCTCCTGTGACTAGAAGACACAAGCTGGCAGAAGGGGGCATGAGATGCTGGCACAGGCCTCTGGGAGGCGGAATGGCAGGAAATGGGACCCCCCACCTTCAAGTCCTATCATAAGCAGACAGCATTCTTTTCCATGCAGGACAAAGCTGAGCCAAATTGGCTTAAGCCCAAAGGGACTTGACTGGCTCACCCAGATGAATAGTTTAGGGGTGTCTTTTCTTCAGGTGTGGCTTGATTCAGGACTCCAACAACACGACCAGTCCTTCTATTATTTGGCTGAGCCTTGGAACAGGCTCCATTCTTGGCAGGCTCTCTCCTTATGGTTGCAAAATGGCTGCCAGGAGCATCCAAGATCATGCTTCCTTATTTATATCCAGTGGGAAAGATTCCCAGAGTTGAACTAAAACCCCAAAACTGACTCTCTTTGGTCCACATGATCAGGACTCCTTTATTAATTAACCTGTCATTGTGCAGTGGGAAATACTGATTGGCTAAGCTATCCTGGACTCATCCCTGAAGCTGCAATGTGGGGCCAATTCTACCCAAATGCATAACTGGGAAATTTAGGATTCTCTGAAGAAAGGGTGGGAAAGAAGTAGATGGTGGAGAAGTGACACGATGTACCTGCCATCACCTTTCAGTCTCATTTCTATTATTCCTGGATAATACCCACATCTCTCCTTAATCACTGACCCAAAATCCTTCATAGAATTTCCAGTTCTACCTATCCCCTCATACGAAATCCTCTTTATGAGTCAGGACCATTTGGTTGCAAGTGACAGAAACACAATTAAAATTGACATAAGCCAAAAGGGAATTGTCTCACATAATTGTAAAGTCCAGAGACAGTGCTGCTGGCATTAGACCCAGGTGGTCCCAGCAACTCTGAAGGTGTCATCAGTACTTGGCCTTTCTCCATCTCTAGGGTCTGCTCTTCATGTGACTTCCTTCTCAGAGGAACTCTCCAGGAGTTGCAGGATGGCTGCAGCTGTCCAGGGCCTGTTCAGGATGGTTTGCCCAGTGTTAAGCCAAAGTCCTAGGGTGATACCACTGGTCCACACCTGAGCAATCAATGAGGTGGGACGGGGCCAGCATTAGTTGAATGGCCAGGCCTGAGTTGTGTGCCCCTGAAGCTGCAGGAGGGGTGCCCCACCTGCCACGCAAGGACTAATGGAAAGTCAAAATGCTGTTTCCAGAAGAGCCAGCCTGGAAGCTGGGAAAATGACAATGGCCTGCAGTGACCATGCATTACCCACACTGCATTGCTCTCCAGATGGCCTTCCCGCTCTGGGTGTAGAACTTGGGGTTGGGGGTTACTGTCATCTTCCTTTCTTTAGTTAGTAAGTGCTTAATAAACCCTGCAGAACAAACGAGAGTGGCTTGAAGTTTGATGTCACAATCACAGCTGTTGTGGGTGGTGCAGCTACCCACACACTCTGCAAGTATCACCTTCGGGAATTACACTTAAAACAAGAACATAGGAACAAATGGATGCCCAGAGATGTGACATAATTCTCCTGGGTCACACAGCTGGTGAGTGACAGAACTGACACCCTTGCCAACCCTGCTGGGTCTAGTCCCCCTGGCTTTACCTTTGGCTCTGCACCCCCTCCCCCAACAGTCCGCCCCCAAACCCCACTCACTGGTAAATGTGAGCAACAGGGGATTTGCAAATATTTTGCATGTTTACTGGCCAGCCCTTGTTGTATGAAGAGACTGCACTTGAGTGACCACTAGGGCTTGTTCTAGGGAAAAGGGACAAAGTCTGGGCTACCCCCTTGCAGTGCCTCAAGGAGGGCCAGGTTTTCTTGTTGTCTGTTTACACTTGCACTTGCTGTTCCCTCTGCCTGGGATGCTTTTCCTTGCAAGTCTCTCAGCTCCTTCAAGAGGCCTCCTTAAGTCGCCCCCACTAAAAACACCACAGAGCGTTACAGCACTGCTCAACCTGGCATGTTCTTATTTGCCTACTTGTTTATTTTTTAATCTCATTCCATTGGAATGGAAAGTTCTGGGGAGCAGGAAACTTGTCCATGGCTTGTTCATGGCTGTTGGATCCTCAGGGCCGAGAAGGGTCCCCAAACACAGTAAGTGCTCAAGAAGTACCTTGACATGGGAAGGTTGAACGCATGGCCTCACAGAGCTCATGGTACGCTGTTGTGATTGCTGAGCTCGTCAAGCCTTTCTTGTGTGCTTGCCCTTCTGGACTGGGGCCTCTGCTTGGCAGTCTGGCTTGTCTGTTGCCCACCAGGCTGAGTTGAGGGGCTGGAAACCACCCAGGGTAGGCGGCTTTCTTGCATGAGTGTTTTCCTGCGGGCTGAGGCGGTATCCCCGGGAAGAGCTTGTGTGCTGACTTGCAGGAGGAATGTCCAAGGGGGTTCCCAAGAGTACGTGTGTCTGCCCCCCTGGGCTGCATATCCCTGTGTGGCCTTCGAGGTGGCTCGTGATGGGAACACAATTGGCGATGTTCCCCAGATGGCATCAAGATGGGGTGGGTGGGGGTGGGGGATTGGCAACTGTCTTCCCATTGCACAGTGACAGCCAGATGTCTTGATCTGTGACTCCTGGTCAAGTGTCCCCACCTGGGCTAGGAGTCAGTTTGTGTGTCTGGATCTCTCTTTAGTAGGGCCTCAGCCCCTGCTGTGTCCACACTCTCGCCAGCATGGCTTGCTTTTTGGGTCTCCTTACCCCCCAGTGCATCTTTCAGATCCCATCACTTTGTGGCCTCCATACCCAGTTTCTTAATTTTAGAAATAACCAGAGTCTCCTCCATCCACCTCTGCTGTGCTGGAGCACAGGAGAGAAATGACCATTTACTTGTCCTGGCAGGATCAAATCTTCACAGTCCTGAGCTGGGCATGAGATCATGACCATCCCTGCTCTCCCCTCAGAAAGGAGGCAAGGCTAGAAATCCAGAGGTTTATCCCACACCAGGTGAGGCCAGAAGGAAGATAAGCGACAGCACATCTGGAATAAATCCAAAAGTCATACCAGGGCCCTTGAAGACCTGCCAGCTGCTCATGTCACTTCCAGTGCCCTGGGCTATAGCTCATGTCTCTTGGCTCTGCTCTCCCTTGGAACGCCATCTTCCTGGTAGCTCAGCCTCACTGTTAGACTGCAGAACTAGGGGTTCTCTGGGGTCCCTCAAACTTGCGTGCTTTAAGTGGATTCTGCCATCCACCACATAAAGACAAACATTCTCTTAGTGTGAAAGAACTTTAATAGGATTCATGTGCACAGACAGAAGAGAAGAGAAGAAGGATAATAGTTTCCAAATAAAACACCCAGTTACCTATTCCTAGCCAAAACAGGGCTGACCTAAAGTAGGGCCACTGAGACCCAAAAGCTTGGCACAAGTCTAAGGTAGCTTCTGGTGGGGAGCCATAGGAAAGGGGCAGAAGGGACAAGGCGAGTCTAGAAGGAAAAGAGCAGAATCAAACAAAGTACAAGTCAAGGCAACTGCTGCCATTGTCCCCACGGGTCTCTCACCCGCATCTCTTTCAAGCGTCTCTACATGTCTCCTTCCATGTCCCTCATGTCCCTGGTGCAAGTTCAAAGCCGAAAAGTAAAATTGCTCTACTTCCTCACATGCCTCACTGCTCCATGTGCCTCCTCCTGTGACCCCTTCAAGTCTTCTTCTAGGTCTCTTCAGCTTCTCTCTTCTTGGCTCCACCCTTCATTAGAAGGGGCAGGGAACCTGGAACCTCCCTTTGTGTGGAGATGACACTGTAACATCACCACTTCTCATTCACTCAGCTCTCCGCTCAGGGCTCAGGCCCACATGGGAATCTTGGGAGGGCTTATTTGCACCCCCCACCCCGTGCCCCCCAATTTCCCCATTCAGGAGGCCTGGGTGGAGCCTGGGAGTTTACATTCCTAACAAGTTCCCAGGGATGCTGAAGCTTCTGATCCAAATGACTTTTGACTTAGTGGGGACTCTTTGGACCCCTCCAGTTTGATCACTGCTACCGCCCACCCCATCTTTCTCCATGACAACCTGCTGCTTAGCTTCCTTTTATCTTTTTTCCATAGCACTTATCTGTGCTTATCTTTGGGTTTAGATTGCTTATTTGTTGTCCATCTCCACGACAGCAGACCAAACCCCAGAAAGGCTGGGGCACGTTGTTTTCCATTTCCTGAGTCAGATGTGAGTATAGTACCTGCGTTGGGACAGACACAGGGGCACACCCCCACTCCCACCCCTCTGGGTTCTTCTCAGGCTGGGTGAGCAAACACATAAACATTGGACAGATAAGGAGGAGAAAAGACCAAATTTAATCACATGCATGTGGAGAATTTATATGACTGTAAATTCTAAGGCAAATGGGCCAAATCTGGGGTTTATATGCTGTGTTAAGGGGCCTGAGGCATGAAGGAGAGAGAAGAGGGGTCTCTCTGATGAGGAGGGATGATTTCATGTGACTAAACCTTGCCTCTAAATGTTTGCTCTGCCTTAAAATAGGTTTCTCCAATAAAGAGGTCGTTTCTGAGATGTCAAAAATGTATCCTTTAAGGTTATGGAGACAGCTTCTCCACAGTCCCACAGGGCCTTATTGGACCTCAGGTCCACACACCCAGGTGACAGTTATTGGAAAAGTCCTACTTTGGACACTCTGGAAATATCCTGCCTGAGTACTTTTGGGGAGACTGATCCCACACCAGGCAGAGTAGGAGCTCAGTCAACAGGCGTTGGATGCAGGGATAAGGAGTTTTCTCTACTCTGCCATCTCAAGGGATCCCCTGGTGTTTAGCAGAAAGGTCTCAGGAAATCTGCCTGAATTCAGCAGGCAGATTGTGGAGCGGCTGCTGTGTGATAAAAATTCCAGAGTGGAATGAACGATGAACGTTCTCTGCCCTCGGGCACACACCCACTAATGAGCCAAGGAGGCTATTTTCAAGCAGCCAAATGTTGTTTCCACCACTCAGTCTATAATTGTGCTGCTGACACTTGGTGTGACCACATGGAAGAGGCGAGATTATTATTATTGTTGTTATCTAATATTTCTTAGGTATCTTGTGGTGGCTGCGCCATTTCGCTCCTGGCTTCTAATCGATTTCTGTTCCCTGAAGACATCTTGAGAACCAGTCTCCCAGCTCATCTCTCGGGAGTGAGAGTCAAGGAGCTTCCCGGCCCTGGCGGGGCAGCTGAGAGGCTTGGGAGCGAAGAGGAGGCTGAGTGTACCCATGGGCTGTTTTTAAAGTTCTCATCTAAATTGTAGAATGTGGAAGGATTGAACTTTAAGAGAATTTCCGCAAGTAAATGATTTTTGACTCTGGCTACTTGACAAATGCCCTCACCCTACATGTCTTCTGTAGAGCCCAGCAGCAAATGCCACATGCAGCCTGGAGAGGAAGCAGGACCACAAACTGTCCTGGACCCAAGACATCTGTGTGTGCCCTTTGAGCAAGAGGAGATAGGGGAGGACGACCCAGGGGAAGGGCACAGAACAGGAAACTGTGTCAAATGCCACATGGGGTGGGGCAAGAGCTTCGAACACCCTCCTACCCCTTAGGGGCAGCTGCCTGCCCAATCCTGTCGTCTGCCACCCCAGCCGGGAGGGATGGGCGTAGTCTGGGGTCTGGGGGAGTTTCTGCAGGAGAGACACATTTCCTGCCTAATGGGAGATGGTTGGATTGGTAATGAGCATTCTTGCTAATTTGGAGGAATGATTTAGCACCAGGAGGAGCTTGGGAAAACATCTTCTGAATAGAGAGAGCAGGCTAACCCCCACCAGGCTGCAGCTCAAAAAATCCCTTCACTCCCAGGTGTTTGTGTCAGTGTCCATGGGGAGGGACTGAGAGCACTGGGTGCTGCCTCCTTTGGAAGGAAGGTGGGGAGGTAGGCACCAGTCCAGAGCTTGAGAAGGGAGGTGACCTGAAAGCACAGGTCCTCTCCAACCCCCCTCAAGTGGGAGGTGCAGTACAGAGGGTCAACCTCTGAGGCTGGGAGAGGAAAGCTGTGCGGGAGCCACGGCCCAGCCATGTAGCCCAATGGACACTCACTCTGCCCTCACTGTCTTCCCCTGCTGTGGGGACAGTGGGTGGGGTAAGAGCCACACATTTTTGTCCACTCAGTAAATATTTATGAAGCACCTACTATGTGTCAGGTGTCATTTGGGGATCATGTGGACATGTCTGTCGGGGTCCCTGCTCATGTTCCAGTGGAGAAGGATGAGGACATAGACAGGTAAGCAGTAAATGAATAAGATAGCATCAGGTAACTGCAGTACGGAATATAAATCAGAGAGATGTGCGAGAGAACGCCCGGGGGCAGCAGAGGGAGGTGACACTTCAGCTGTGACCTGAGAGATGACGAGAATCTGGGGGAAGAGCAAGCCAGCCAGAGGGAACAGCAGGGGCAAGGGCCCCAAGGTGGGAACCAGCTTAGATTATTCTGGAGATGGAAAGAAGGGAAATGACTGAAGCAGGGGGAGTAGGGGTGCAAATGGAAAGGAGTTTGCATTTCATTCTAAGTGTAACAGGAAGTCATCCGAGATCTTCAAATGGGGAATCCCATGCTCGGATTTGCTTTAGAAAAGACTGTCCAGGATGCTCTTTCAGAAGAAGACAAGGGGTAGGAATGGAAGGAAAACTCCAAAGACTGTAGTGAGAGGAGAGGGCTTAGGCGGGGAGGAGGTGGCGGGGGAGGGGGGTGGGGGTGGGGACGTGGAGGGGCGGTGACAGGCAGAAGGGGAAGGGGCGGGGCTGGAGTAGGTCCGGGGGTGGAGCCAGCAGTATCTGCCAAAGGGTTGCTTTCAGGGGCAGGTGGAGGCGAAGGAAATCCAGACCTGGAACCTGGGGCATAGGGTGGGGATCAGGGAGTTCGGTTGGAATCTTGATTCAGAGGTGTAGGCCTGGGAATCGGTATTTTTAATGCGCCGACCCTTTCCCTCCCTGTAGGTGATTCAGGTGAAGTTCTGAGCTTTAAAATTCCAACTCTGGAAGCTGAATTTTCTGTGTATAAAAAACAGTCTGAGGTTTGGGATGCCAAGTAAGGGATCAAGATACAAAGGTTTAAACACAGGAAATCACTTATCATTTTACTTGTTACTGCTCTGTCCATGCCTTTTCCCAGGAACCTACCTCCCCAAAGGCCCTTTCTCTTCTTACACTCCAGATTGGAAGGTAGCAGGAATCCTGCTGCCTGCGTGTTGAGTAAAAGAAATGAGTAAATAAGAGGTTGATACCCCTAAACCCAATCTTGGCTGGTACCTAAGATTCCAAGGGTCCCATGCAAGATTTCAAATCTACCTGGAATTCCCTTAGGAATCAAAGATGGGCTTAAAAGTAGCAGACTACTCTCCCTAGGGTTTATTTTCTTGCCAAAAAAAAAAAAAAAATGTTGGGGGTTGGGACCCAGTTCCTTCTATTTGTCTATGGTCCAACCTAGCTTCTATTCTAAGTTTACCTCATGATCCAGAATGGTTGCTGAACTTCCAGCCATCGCGCCAAATTGGAAGGAGTAAATGGAAGAACAAAGAGGGTAAGGCTCCCCCTTTTAAAAGAATCTGCTCAGAAATCCCACATTTGCTTATATCTCATTGCCAAAATTTAGTGCATGGCCTACACCTGGTTGCAAGAGAGGCTGGGAAGTGTAGTTTTCTTTTTTTCCTTCTCCCCCCTCCCCCACAGAGCCCAGGACTCTGCAGCAAGATAGAAGGGGCAAAATGGATGTTGGAAGACAATTCGTCACCTCTGTCCTAACACATTAAGAGTGAAACCATATAAATAAGGTAAGGCATCCGCTTTAAACTCTCTCAGAACCTTCAGTATCTACGGCCCTTAGACTCCAGGTGCCACAGGCTTACTTCTTCTGGATCTGGACCCCCTCACTTTTTCCTTTGCTCCCCCCTCAATTCATCTCTGCCTGCCCTCCTCTTCCCTCTCTACTGGTAGCTTCAACATGTCAAACTCATTCCTCCCTCAGGGCCTTTGCACTTGCTGTCGCCCCTGCCTGTCCTTCCTCCAAGGTCCTTATGTAGCCAGTTCCTTTCAGACTCCTTACACCACCTGCCGTCCCCTCCTCACCAAGTCACTCTCATACCATTCATCTGTTTCATTTTTCCAAAGCACTCAGTATAGTCTGAACTTGTATGTTTTATAGCTACACTTCACAAGAGGAGGGAAACTCACTTTTGCTGGATGCTCCGGGGTCTGCCTCTTGACATTCAGGTGAATACGCAGCTAGAGGAGGATCTGGGTCTGCCTTTTCTTCTGTGAGGTGGCCTGTGGAGTGCGGTGTAACAGGTGGCTGCCCAGGGCCCAGCATCACTGTCGCATTTCTTCAGAATGGACCTTGTTGCGGAATGGACCTTACTCTGGCAGCCTCGGATCAGCCTCCCTGGGGGAGTGGGGGGTCTCACTGATGTCCACTGCACGTATCCATTTTGGAGGGAAGGATGGTTATGGTTTTGGGTCCCTGTTCCAAATATTCAAACTGCCTCGTCTGTACCTGGAACTCAACAGATACCCCGGGATCCCTTGTTATTGTCACCCTGGAGGGCCTTTTCGCCCTCTCTCTGGGCAGACCCCCTGATCCCTGGTCTCTTGGTTTGCTCCCTCATGGTCATGGAGGGTAAACTGCAGGGCTTCCTGAGATGCCTGAGAAGTGAAGACGGCCTACAGGTGTCTCCTTCTCTCATCTGCTTAATAGCTTACCTGGGTTATAGAATCTAGTTGGGAAATAATTTTCTTTCAAAATGTTAAATTCACTACTATGTGTCTTGTGTGTCTTCTAGTTTCTCTGCAAACTTGTGACTCTGCTATTGTTGTTGGGCTTCTGAAAGATTGCTGCATGTGCTTGGGGTGGGCGCAGTTTTAATCCACCATTCTATGTAAAACGTGTGTCCTTCATTCCTCTACAATTTTCTTGAATTATTTCACGGACGGTTTCTTTCTATTTTCTTTTTTCTTTGGCTCTGTTACTCAGATGTTGAATCTCTTGAATCAGGATTTCAATGTTCTTACCATCCTTCTTCTATTTTCCATCCCTTTATCTTTTTGCTCTATTCTCTGGGAAATTTCCTCCAATTTGCTTCCTAATCCATCTATTTTAAAATAATTTCTTTCTGCTTTTACTTTCCAAAGCCTCTCTTTTAATTCTCTATTCTTTATGTGTCCCTTTTATTAGAGCTTCATGGATATAATCTCCTTGAGACTATTAATAATAATTTTAAAAGGTTTTCTTTGCCTTGCATGGTCTGTTTCTGCACACTATTTTTTATTTTTTACTTGTCTACTTTGTTCTCACATGTCTGTGATAGAGGTGTCCCTGATCTGTGCTCCACCAGATCATAAATAATTACCAAAACGTGAAATTGAAGCTCAGAGATCTCCAAGGGTCAATGGTTGGGGGATCCACCCACATCAGTAGCTTGCAGTCTTTCATGTGGGACTGGTCAGATTTCCTAGGGAAGCTCTTTCAGGCTCCTGCCTAAAGGAGTCTGGTCTATTGGCTTCTGGAACTAAAGCCTTTTCAGTTATATATCTAAGTCTTGGCTATGCCTTGCTTTCCCCAGTCCAGAGAATAAACCCTGACTTTTGAGGTTCAGGAGGTGAGGGGTGGCTACCCAACAGCTTGGAGTGAGGTTGGTTTTTGAAAGACTTTGCTCTGTTTTAACTTCAGTTGTTCCCCATTTGCAGGCATACCTGGGGCTCCACGTTCCTGAGGCTTTGAGGGACTCTGGGGTGAGAATTGACTTGAATCTATTCTGGAGAATCAAACAGCTGAGCAATTTGTCTCTCCAGCACCTTGTGTGCAGGTACCACCCCTCCCTGTTTCCAGCTTCCAAAGTCATTGCATCATCTTCTTCCCTGTTATCCTTCCCATTGAGTTGACATCTCAAAAAAAAAAAAAGTGTTTTGCGTGGTTTCAGTGGGAGCTGGAAGGAAGTGCAATTAGATATGGATGCCCAGTCTGCCCAGATGCCCAGTCTGCCTCCCTGTCTCCTTATCTCACAAATGAGGGACTAGGAGTGAAAACTAGGGGCTTTCCATGGTGATGGACAGTGGTTACATATCTGAATCCCAGCCTGTATTTATGGAGGTCATCACTTTATGAGACCCACCACCTCCCACTCTGAAACTGAAAAGTCTAGAAACACCTCCTGTTGTCCCTAGCAGCTAGACCAAGTCTGTGTCCAAACCCAGCAGATAAGATGCTCATTGCACCAGATCTGGGTTTGGAACTAGTGAGCAAAGCAGGTTCAGGGAGAATCTTCTGGGTGCATTGGCAGCAGCACTGTGCCTCCTGTGAGCTGTGGGGGCCAGTGTCAGGGTGCAGGCATCTGGCTAGATTCTTAGCAGGATTTGTATCATGATCATGACCCTGATTTGGACCAAGAACCCTGAAAGATACACACAGCTGGCTAGCGGCAGGCGTGGAGTCAGGGTCAAAGTGGAAGTTTCCTTCCATGTATACTTCTCCCGTGCTATCAGGCCCTACCCAGCCCTTTGAAGCTGCATCTGGAACCCCACGAACTCCCCTCCAAAAGACCTCTTCTTTCCTGCTTTGCCTTTCCTGACGGACCCTCTCCTGCCCTTCCTGGTTCTTGACCTTCTTGACCTTCTTGAAAGACATGTCTCTTTGTGACAGTCAGCACTGGTCATGTATCCTCATCTACTCTGGTCATACTCCTGCTGTTTAGCCATGTCCACATCCCTTAGTACACCCCAGCCCTTGACCACCAAAGTCATCTCGAATCATTATTGAAGTGTTTTCAAAATTATTGCCAGTTTCATATGTTTATACCTTCTTATTCTCACTGGAAATGTAAATGCCTCATCCCTTCACTGCAAAGTATAGGGCCAGGCAACATGCAAAATGTTCAATAAATATTTTCCCATTTCCCTGTTCTGTCAAGGAAATAAGGTGCTTATGAACTCATGTATGATTTACAGACATGAATGTCAGTAGTGAAAACTATTCTCCCTTATCTGAGCTGAGTTTTCTACTAGTTTTTATTGTAAAAACAATAGAACATGAAAGAAATGTTGGGAAAAAAAAGGGGGGAGGAATCACCCCTAATTCTACTAGGCATAACTATTTTCATTTGTGTGTGTGTGTGTTGCCTTCAAGCCTTTTTCTGCAAGTGTTCACACATTTACAAACCTCCAATCCTAGTACTTGCTTCCCACAAAATTCACCGCAAATACCACTTTCCAGGGCAGTTTTCTCACCCCAGTAATTCCTGTGCCCTCTGTCCCTGCCATTCTTACCCCCAGTGTTATTGTCACACCTCTCCCCAGGTGGATGTGCCCAGGAGACTTCAGAGGCCGGAATCGAACCTCTGGGTTTCTCCATCCCAAATCCAAGGCAGGGCACATGGCGGTCACGTCTCACAGCCACGCTTTTGTATTCTACACTGTCACTGCATATTAGAACAGACGCCTATCCCCTGTTGCTCTACAGTTTTCATAACGATCTTTTTTAACAGGTCCAGAATATTTCATTAAGTGGATGTTTCATAATTTAGTTAACCAGTCCCCTATTGGGGAAGATTTGGGCTGTATCCAGGGTTTTTTGTTTTTTTGGGTTTTTTTTTTTTAAATCACAAATAACATTGTAACAACTGTTCTTGCCACTATAGTTTATTTCTCCTTTTAAGTAAATTCATAGAATCCCTGGATCAAGCAGACTCCTGGTTCTTTAGCCCCTCTCAACCTAGCAACAACCTCACCTGGTACCAGCTCACAGGAGAGACACAGTTGCCCCCACAGCCCTGTCCTCCTTCATCATAAACACATCCTGTGGCCAGTTGGAGCTGCCTCCCCAGCTCTTCTCAGAGATCAGGGTTGGAGTTTCCCTCACTCAATAAATGTTTATTAAAGTACTATTTATCTTGGATTCTCCTGGGCCTGCTACAAAATCTTGCATGTCCAAGATGCTCACAACATTCACCTCATGTGTCTGCCTGCCCTAATCTGTGTCCTTTCTTCTGCCATCAACCCACCTGCCTGTATTTTCCATGGTCCTGATGTGGTTTTTGATCCAAGGGGTAGACCTGGGTTCAGGGTAGGCCAATCAGAGTGCTGCCTCCCTTCTCAGCAAGGATTGGCTAAAGGGAGATCATGTGACGCAGCCAAAGCCAGTGATTTGCAAACTTGGGACATGGTGAGAGGTGGCATTTCTTCCTCTAAGGCTGAGGGGATGATGCAGTTGTGATGACATAATATTGACAGTGAGATAATAGTGGGTGGGACACTGGAGCTGCTGGTGGCTATGTTGCCATGTACAGGGAGATCCTACTGAGAATGGCTTCAGGGTAAGTTGAGACTTTTTTTTTGTAAATTGAAGTAACATTGATTATAACACTATATAAGTTTCATGTATTCATCGTTAACATTCTTTCATTTATTCCTTCTGTTCCAGAACAGGAAGAGGGGCACCCCAGAACCCCCAAACCTGCTCATTCTAAATATGTTCTGCCATCCACTGCATCAAGATGGAATATACTCTAGAGTATAAGATCTTTAATGGAAAGGAACTTTAATACAATTAGTGTGCAATATAGAAAAGACAGAGAATGAAGTTTCTGAAAGAAGCACCCAAAGTTATCCATCCCCTTGTGGGTAAATGCCCAGCCGAACAGGGTTGGCCCAAAGCAGGGCCACTGAGGCCTGAAAGCCTGCCACAAGCCTAAAGCACCATCCAGTTGGGACCCATAGAAAAGGGTCAGAAACAGCCAGACAAGTCTGGGAGGAAAAGAGCAAAATCAAAATCAAGACAAAAGCTGCCATTGTTAACCTCCCCACGGGTCTCTCACCCACATGTTTCACCCAGTCCAGGACTAAGATGCAAGCGTAGCTTCTTCACATGTCTCTCTGCTCCACGTGCCTCCTCCAGGTCTCCTGGCTCTCCATCCTGCTGCATTCCTTCTAAAGGTCTCTCCATCTTCTACTCCTCCCTGCTCACCTCCACCCTCCCTTGGGTGGGGCAGGGAACCTGGAACCTCCCCTTTCCTGGGCACTACCCTGTTACGCTTCTGCGTCTATTTGTTAGACTCCACTCAGTGCGGTGCCTGTTCTGGCGTTGGGGGAAACAATCCTGAACTAGGGAGAGTATCTGCTTTTATTGGCCCTTCAGTCCACACTGACATTTGAGCAGGGACTTGGATGATGCAAAGGGACCGCATTTCAGGAGAGAGCGCCTGCCAAAATGCGCTGCCCAAGGTAGAACAGGGAACAATCTACAGATTTTTGTTTTTAATTTTTTTAAATTGTGGTAAATTCCATATAAGAGTTGCTATCACAATCATTTGGGATGCACAGGTTTTGAAGACATTTCTGAACACCTGAATCTTACAGTACCTGAAGCAGTTACTATCCTCTGATTTCTCAGTTCTGGTCAAATTTCAACTAGACTCTCTGCCACTGGCTCCCTGAAACCTTATACAATCCATGTTGAGTGAACAAATAGATAAATGAAAAAACAGGAAATAAACCAAAAGTCTCCAGAAACATACACTTCCCGCAGCAACATATCGGTAGCTTTTGTCCCTGCAGCCTCATCAGCGCTGGGTGTTATCATCAAACCATTATTAAGCCTAGAATATGAAATATGGGGAGGAGACAACTGATCCAAGGAGCGAGAACTGGGATCCAGCCTCGTCTCTCTTCCAGAGAGTTCTCAGTGCTCATCCCCGCACAACTGGGCCACGGCCACTTTGTTCTCTGCTCTGAGCTGTTGCCTTATGGTAGGTTGTGACATTTCCACCTGGAGGTGTCTCGCTTATTGCTCTGGGGACGTTTTTATTTTTTTATTTAAAGAGAATTTTCATGGCAGTCTGTGCCACCAAGGGCCGTCGGGAGCCCCTGGCAATATGATTCTGTCTGAAGAACAAAGAGGCAAATTTGCAGAAGATCAAATGCAAAGGCATCATGAGAGAAGGAGAGGGCTGGGAGTTACAGATGAAAACGGTGGCGCTTCCAGCCCAGATCTGTGTGTTTTGCTGAGATCTGAGAGTTATGAATAATGGAGGATCCACACACAACCTGGGGTGCGTGACTGTTGGGGATGTGGGAAGAGGGCCCCCCGCCTTGCTGAAGACACCACCTTGCCATGAGGAGTAAGTAGGGCTGGTCACAGCCCCTCCGGGCAGGGTCAGCGCAGTGAAAAAGAACGGTGAAGAGAACAAGGATGGAGTTGAGGAGCTTGAGAGCCGGAGCCCCAGCAGCCGCAGGGCTCTCACTGCCGCGTGACAGAAGCTCAGGCACAGGGAAATCTGCAAAGTGGGGTCTGGGTATCCGTGAGGATTTCAGGGGGAATGCAGGACGATTCTGGGCAAGATGTCTTCTCTGCCAGGCTCAGGAAGGCACCCCTGCAGCCCCATGTGGGAGTGAATGCCCCTCCTCCTGGCAGCTACCTGTCTCCTGACGCACCCTGCTCTCCCGTCACCCCCTACTCATGCTCCTCAAGGCTTGCTTGCACTTAATGGCCCAGTGCCCCTCCCTGGTTTCTGCCCTGTGCTCAAGCCCAGCCCCAAGCCTCCCTCCCTTCTACAGCCTTCCCATTCCACAGGCCTTACCCCAGCACCAGGCCCGCTTCCCCTCTGCCCTGGTGCTCCCCCTCCCACCTCCTGGAGCTCTCCATTGCTGGGTCAGCTGCCCACCTGTTTCCACAATCTGCCTGCCCAGTGAGTCCTCATGGGCACCACAGACTCCTCTCTCTGAAGCTCTGAGGCATCTGGTCCTCCCACCCTATTCCTTGGCAACATTGTCTCTGTGGACATGGCCTGTCCTTCTGGGAGTAGATGCCTCATTTTTCCTGGCCTTTCAGCACAGGAACTGACAAGGGAGAGCTGCTTTCCTCTGTATAAACGGAAATCCAGACATTCGCTCTCCAGGCCTTCCTGATCACTAGGTTGGCCCGTCAGTTATACCACCCCAGCTGGCAGGGTCACAAAGAACCGGGACCACTCAGAATCCAGGACCTGTCCTGTGGGTGGGCAGCGGCAGCACTGGCAGCAAGGGCAGGCTCGTCCATCTTCCAGAGGCAGCAAGAACAGGACCCAACGGGGCAGGTTGAGAGGTCGAAACCAAGGGCAAGGGTGGTGATGTCCTCAGGAATTCCTCCTGGTTGTTCCTCCTCTAAGCTTGACGCTTGAGCCTCCCCAGGGCTTCTGGCATTCAAATATCCTGTCATAAATACCTGCCCTATTTACAGCAGCCAGGTATTGTTTCTATTGATTTAAATTATGTTCAGTTACGTTATATTGATAGATCCTGGCTTGTCATTCATCTTTTTCAATGTTGGGGTTTCCCCCTTACTCCGGCATCTCTTTAAAATACATTTAGTATGTTTAAAAAAGATAAATCAACATAAAGTAAAATATTAGGTCAATTAAAAGGTCCCTCAAATTAAGATTTGGGGAATCTATCAAAACATGGCCTAACAATCTCACTTTGGAACTTGTCCTTCTCCTGTCTTATTGAATTACTATAGCTTGGAGAATAGTGAGATTTCCAAACTGGACCCAGAAACCCTCATCTTCTTCCTCCTTCCTATTTTTTCTTACAGCCAAGTGCTTCATTGTGTGACGAGACCTTAGCTCACTGAGGCTTCCTCTCTCAGGGGACAACTGAATTGCTTTCCATCTTTTGTTGCTACCATGCGGTGAATGCCCCCATAGCTATACCGCCTCATCTGTGCAAAGTGGAACATTTATCAAGTCAGAAAATAAGATACAGAACAATCTGCAGATATGTCATGTTTTGCTCAAGAAAGAGGGAAAATAAGAATCTCTTATACCTCCATAATGACACTCTGGAAGGATAGATACAAAGCTGATCCTAAGCACACCTGCCTTTTGTGGTGGCTGAGAGGCCTGGGGAGCTGGAGGCAGGGCCCAAGGAGGCCAGTGACGTTCCTATTCACCTGTGAGTCTTGTTTTGCTTCTGGAACCACATGACAGTATTACCTAAAAACAATAGTAAGTGTGGAGGTGACACAGATGTGGTCAAAGTTGGTATTGATGGCTGAATCTCGGACCTCCTCCATATTGTGGCTTTGGGCCAGGCTATTCCTTCACCCACTGGAGACAGTAGGGAGGCTGGGGCAGAGCGTGACAGTGAGGGTGGGGCCTGTATTGCGGAGCACTGCTGGGCTGTGTGCCAGTGACTACTCCAGCTGGGAAACCTGCCCAGTGTCCTAAGGTGTGGAGGAGGAGAACTCCTTGAGACTGGACACCTCCCCTCCCAAGACTCCAGAGGGGCCCACCAGGTTAGGGAGCTGTGCAATGATGGCCAAGTTGGCAGGTCCCCCTACTTATAGAGACATTACCTGTTCTGCCAGTGAAGCCATGAACTGCCCCCCACAGCGGAGCCTAGCAGAGCAGCCCACTCCCCTGTTGGACCCTGAAGCTGGTAGAGGCTGAACTGAGAACACCTTAATCTCCTCTGCAGCTGGACGAGGACCTTGGGTTTTGGGGAGAGAGCAGAGGAGCCAGGGGCGCTTGGGGGAGGGCTGTGCACCCGCCTGCCTGCCCTGCATGTCTCCAACAGCCTTTGTTCGTGAATAAACACTCTAGGGCTGCCTCCCCCCAACCTGAAAGCCGCTTCTGCCGGAGAGAGAAATCGTATACAATCTCTGCTTTAGATGTACAAAAAGTCTGAAATTGCTTGGAGACCAGGCAGAGGGAGGCTGGGCGAGGCTGGGGGGATCTGGGCGGGTAATTGCAGGTCATCTATCTGCTCTGTCAGCGCGCGCTTGCTCCCGAGCTTTGCAGAAAGGACTCTGTGAATTTGCCTTTCCCCGCGCCCACCTCGCCCCCCCACTCCATCTTGCATTACTTACTCTTTCCTCAGCAGCTGTAAAACCTTTTTCCTAAAGCTGCCCTCAAGCATAATGAATAGGAGATATTCGGAGCTGGTAAGAAAAGACAACCCAAATGATGCACATTGCCTTTTTGGGGGGCCCTGAGATGGATACCCACCTGGCAGGAATCTGCTGGAGGGGCATTTGCTTGGAGAGATTTCCACGGAACCTCTGCCTGTCTCTGCAAGCACCATAAAAAGAGTCTCAGTCGTGCCGTCCTCTACTTCATTCAGGACAATGGCCCCTTCACATGGGCCTTAAGGTACAGGACCCATCAGAACCCCCTCAGCCTCTCCAGCACGCAATTAGGTTCCTCAGGGTAGCCT